AACCTCCCCCTCCGTCATGGGAAGGGGGGGGGTCTGGTTCCACCCCCCCCCTCCAAGCGACCACAGAACGCGCTGTTTCGCATGTTGGAATATGTATATATAAATACACATACATACATACATACATACATACATACATACAGACATGCATGCATACATACATCCATCCATACATACATACATACATACATACGTACATCTATGCTTTGGCGGGCTCGCGGGCGCCAGCCCTCATATATATCTTGTTTTCCAGAGGCAGACCAAAATACATGTCTGTGTGATCTTGGCCCGGAGCCAACTGCAGAGAGGCCTCCTATCCGACTTTGGGGGTGAAGGCCTCCAACCGATCACAAGACCGTGCAATTGTACAAACTGCTCCAGCTTAAAGGGTTGGGGCGACTGAACAGGAGCGATGGGCGGGAAGCTTGAGCACAGGTGGCAGCAGAACGGACGCGCTGCATCGGCGCCCTTCCACCCGACCCCTCGCAGAGAACACCAGGCACGCCAGAGCAATCTATGCTTTGGCGGGCTCGCGGGCGCCAGCCCTCATATATATCTTGCTCTCCAGAGGCAGACCAGAATACATGTCTGTGTGATCTTGGCCCGGAGCCAACTGCAGAGAGGCCTCCTATCCGACTTCGGGGGTGAAGGCCTCCAACCGATCACAAGACCGAAACAGCGAGCAACAATTTAAACCTTGCGAAACACTCAACTGGCCGTCAGGCCACATATCTTGATAACGTTCGAAATGCCTGGTTTCGAAGAGCTTGCTTATATGCTTGCACGATCTGCCTGCACATGTCTACTGGGTAGGGCTCCGCTATATGAGTCCAGAAACGTCCTGAGGGATCTTTGCCTTCCAAAACCTTGTGGGGGCGCTGGGAAAAGCTACAAACTCCACGACCCAAGCAGCGGGCTTCCTCAAGCCTGGAGAGATCGAGGTGACAGTGTCGAAGCCTGGTCCGTTTACGCCAGGGCTTTCCAAAAGCGCAGAAGTCTACGACCACGTCCCGGAACATTCCCGGAGCGAGCCAGAGAAAGGGCCCCGGGCAGAGACCACAACCAAGAGGTCGCGGGGTTTTCCAAAACCACGGGGACCCGAAGGGTTCGGCACAAAGAAAACAGGCCAAAGCTGAAACGAGAGAGGGCATTACCTCTGCTAATTTTCAGGGCATCAGCTGGGGATCGATCAGGGAGGCCTAAGGGGTACTCAGCATCACGAAGTGGCGGCGGTCCTCCAGGCCTGTTTCGCGCTCGTGATAGCGACTGGCAAGGCGTAGCAATCCACACGGCGGATATCTGCCTCCCTCGGATCCAGCCTCGAATAAGACGCTGAACACGGCGACTGAGAGCATCTGCATTGGCATCGTGAATTATGTCGAACTCGAATGCTGCACATGACCCTTTGAACGACAACCTCCATGCATGGGAAAGCCTCCCACTCCCAGAGAAGACCTCCAGCATCACGGGCCTGCCTTGGGCCGAGACGAAGGCGGACAGGTCGCGCAGAGGACGTCGCCAACTGTGGCCAGCGCGCGCCGCGCCAGCGCCTGCACCGCGTCCGGGAGGGCGTTCAGCTGCTCCTGGATGCGGCCTCCCTTGGCGCACCTCCTGACGGCCTGATCGGTGGCCCAACGGCCTCGCTTCTTCACCGCGTCCTGCGTGTGGGCCTTTACCAGCAGCTCGTGGCTCGCGCCGCCGTGTCTCAGCTGGTGGAGAGTCACCGGCCCCAGCGACTGCAGCCCTGCAGCCCGGGTCGCCGCCTGGAACTTCGCATTCCACTCGTTGTAGCTCACGCCGAACAAGGGGTGCCCCGACGGTCGGGTCACCAGCAGCCGCTGCAGCAGCCCGGGCAGCCAAGGGAAGGCGGGGCTGTCGATCAGCAGGGAGTCGTCGTACACGCCCGTCTTGCTCGAGATCCCCCTCTCGCGAGGGTGCGGGGTCACGCTCCACGCGCCCTGAGGCCCACCGTGCAGCGCGGACGGCTTGACCAGGTTGTCGGTGGTCAGCAGCAACGCCTCCGACGGCCTCAAGTACAAGGCGAACGCCACCGCAGTCAGGGCTGCGACCGTCGGCTCGCCGGCGCTCACCAGCGCGCGGATGACGAGACAGCGCGCCGCCCAGGGGAGCGGCAGCCTCGACCTGGGCGGCGCCAGGCGCCTCCACCCCTTCGCCGCCCGAACGGCCCTCGGCAGGCCCGAGTACTTCAGGCCCAAGTCGAAGCCCTGGAACGACAACGCCGCGAACAGCTTCCACGCGTCGGCGCTCTCGCCGCCCTCCAGGAACTGCTCGTGGAAGTACACGACCAGGGCAGCGTCCAGCGACACAGCAGTGGAGACCGTCAGCGCCATCATCTGAGCCCAGCGCGTGAACGCCTGAACCCGGCGCTGGTAGTCCCTCTGGGTCGGCGCGGACACCGACTCCGTCTCCAGGAAGGTCTCGGACTCCCCGACGATCGGGATAATCTCGCGGCCCACCCGCTGTCGCCTCTGAAGGCGGCGCACAGCTCGACGGTCGCTCTCCTTCGCCGCCGAGGCCCGCGCCGAGCCCGGGCGGCCCGCGGCCAAGCCCTGGCGGGGGCTCGAGGCCGGGCGGCGGCGCACAGCCGAGGCGGCCCGCTGGACCCGGGGGAGCCCTCCCGCTGCCAGGCGCAGCGGAGCGGCTCCGGCCATCAGGGGCCGCGCCCCGATCCGCCTCTGCGATCAGCCCGGGCCGATTCCGAGAGGCGGGGTCCGCGCTGTTGTGCTCCGACGGCAGCCAGCGCCAGGCAACGCCGCAGCCACTGCAAAGGGCGAGGGCCGCGACCTGCCGGCAGATGCGCTGCAAGGGAGCCGGAGATGACCGTCCTTTGAGCAAAGCGAGCAGCGGGGCCATCGAGTCGTTCAGAATAACGCGTGTCTTTCGGAAGTTGCTCACCGCTCGAAGACGGTGACGGAGACAACAAACGAGAGCTCGGCCTTCGAGAATCACCTGAGCTTCCTCACGGCCCCAGGGTCTGGACAGGACCCGCTTCCAGGCCCCGCCCCGCGCAATCCTCGGGACGCTCTTGAACTCAGCCTCCGGGGGCCTGGGGAACACCTTGACGGTACCAGGTAGGGCGCCAGGGGCTCCAGGGTGACCTTCGGGGGCCCCACGATCCTCGACCTCATCCGTCCATCTGTCGATGTCGAACTCCCGAGGCGCGACCGATCTCTCCGAGTCCTTCCCGAACCTCCACCGCTCGTTATACGACGACAGCTCGACGGCGACACTCTGCTCCACATCCTTCTCGGCGATGCCGACCCCCACCGCGAGGCGTCCACGCACGATATAGCACTGCTAACCGGGCGTCCAGCGTTTCTGTAACATAGTACCACCAGGGCTTTGCACCATCGAAGCTCACGGCGAACAGTTGCCCAAAGGGGAACCACACGAGGCCCTGCAGTGTCTATGAAGGTGCACACGGCCCCGAGCACACTAAGCAATTCCCAGCGGATAAGCCCACGAGAGGTAAAGTGCGACACAACCTTTCTTAGGGTATCTCCAGAACACTTGCCTCGGTCTAGAAGCTGCTGTATACCTAGACGGAGCCCCCAACGAAGCCGAGGGTTCAAGCCGACGATCGCGTCCGCGCCCCCGAACTCCCAGCCCAGAGTCTGACCGCCCACCCCCTCCTCCACCGGGTGCGTGGGCAGACCAACCCGCTGGAGTTCTACATTGACTGCTCTAGCCACGTTGCCTGCTTCCAGACATGTGCGTGCGAGGGAGACAAAGTTGTCAACGTACTCTGTGTGAATGCACCCCTCACTGAGGTCGGGAGCTGGCCTACGGTCTACCAAAAGATTATGTGAACTGACTCCAGGAACTCGGGAACTTATCGTTTCGTTGATGGTCTGGCAGATCCACAAACTCACGCTCCATCCCATCGGCGGGCAGCGGAAACAAGGAACAACTTTCTGATGAGGCTTGACGGGGGTCCCACAAGCTAAACGATCGAGGTTGAAATCTCCTGCTCGAACGCGTGGGAGACCGAAATACTTTTGCAACCAGGCTGGGAGCAGGATGTTGTAAAAAAGCATCTGCAATATCCACGCCTGCCACAGCGATGGGAGCGCCCCCATCAACAGTAATCTGACTATACGCCGCGCCCGAGGCCAGCTCAACTTTGTCAGCAGCACCAAAACGAAGGGAAGCGAAGCGCCCGTCCAGAATCATCCGAAGGTCGCCCGGTTTCTTGCGCACGAAGAAAAGCCCGACGGAGCACTCGCACGACGAGTGGAAGCTGATCAAGTTGGCGTCCACCAGCCGCTGCAGCACCCGCTTATAAAGCTTTGGGTTACGAAGGTTAGGATCCACATGCAAACGTCGTGGGCCGTCGGTTCTCACACGCTCCAACCCCAGCTCTCGGGGAAGTTCCAATTCATGAAGACGGTCGGCAATCTTCCGGCCCACATCGCCCGCCAAGCTCTCAAGAGACTTCGGGGACGTCGAGGCGGCGGGCAGGGAGATGCGGTCGACGTTGTCGAAACCGACCGGAGCAAGCGCCAAGGCCTCCCCCTGGTACGCCTGCGACACCCGGAGCTCCGCAAGGGCCCCCGGGCCGTCGAGGTCCTCAGGAGGCTCACCGAACCGCTTCACGGCGGCCTCGAGCTCCTGGTAGACCTCGGCGTGGACTGCAAGCGGCGGCTGGCCAGAACTCCGCCGTGGTAGGCCAGCCGAGCCCTCCGACCCGAGGTACATCTCATTGAGGACGCCGATAAGCTCGTCCACAGTGTTCTCCCGGTGTCGGCGACGATGAAGCCGCCGCTCAGCAGTCCGAGCATGGGTCGAAGTGCTCTGGCGAGTGGTCGGAGAAGGGCGTGAAGAGGGACGAAGAGGAATCGGGAAAATGTCGCGCTGGCGACCATCTCGAGGGACGGGACGGAGATCCCCATGTACACTGTCGGCGCCGCCGGGGAGACACGGCACCGCCCCCTGCTGGATCCCGGGCAGGTCGGGGGACGTCCTGCCGGGCGGCGCACTCATGCCCCGGAGAGGGCGCGGCGCTCCTCCTTCGCCTTCCGTGAGGCCTTGAGGATGCCCGCGCCCCTCTCCACCATTGCTGCCACATGATGTAGCAAGGACGGGCAGACCATCATCCGCCCGTCCTCCTTCGACGTGCCCGTGAAGACCGAGGCCTCGTCCAGGAAGGCGAATCGCGACAGACCGCGGCCACGGCCGCCACCCCTGCCCTTGCTCTTCTTGCCGTCCTTCTCGCCTTCACCGGGGCCAGCTGCACCGGCCACCGAGCCCTCGGACTCCATCGCGTATATGTACTCGTACAGCTGCGCCTGCCTCATCGCCACCTCCACCCCGACCAAGTCGGGGAGGTTCACGTGATCCCAGCAAGCCAGGAACTCGATCATCCGCATGATGCTCTCGTAGTGGGTGATCCCGTAGTCGTCGTTCGTCAGGTGATAGTAGCTCTTGAACTGGTGGAAGTGCTCCAGCGGCCCGCCACGACGGCGGTCGATGAACACGCAGCACCAGCCGACCGTCCGAGGGCCCTCGAGCGGCCACCCAACCAGCCCAGACTCGGTGAAGCGAGCTACTGCATCACGAAACTGCAAGCGCTCGCGGTGCCCGTCGACCTGAAGAGGGAGCCCGAGGAGACGACAGTCGTGGCCGGATTCAGCACTGGCGTACAGCGCCAGGTTGATCGACACTTGCCGGATGCAGATCCAGCCCTCGGCCACCCTCATGACGCCCACGTCGCCGCCGAGCCTCTCCGAGCCGTTCAGCTGCACGACCGTGCCACGCGCGCGCGCCGAGGTGGTCTCCACCATGACCCACTCGGGCGCAGGCGGCGGCGCGAACAGGGCGGCCACGCCGTCCGCCCCCTGCTGACCGGCAGCGGGAGCAGCTCCAGCCGGCGGCGCCGCCGCGGCTGCGGCCGCCGCCCCTGCGCCGAGGCCGCCGCCGAGGCCCGGCCCCCGGGCCGGCGCTACGCCAGCAAGGCCAGCCGCCGCAGGGGCACCGCCCCCCGCGCCGTGGCCGCCGGCCGCAGCCGCAGCCCTCGGCCCAGGCGCCGCGGCCAACGTGAAGTCGAAGGCCTCCCACGAGCCTGAGGCGGGCAGCACACCGGGCCGACCTGTCGCCCTTTCCCGGGCCAGGTAAGTCTCGTCCCCGACCTGGTCCAGGGCGACGCGGATGGCGGCCGTCTGGGCGGGCGTGAGCGCCCGGCGGAACCTGTACACCTGGTTGGCGTCCAGCCCCGCCAGATCGCGTTGGCCGTCAGTGAAGCGGATGGCCAGCACGTCCTGGCTGTCACGACCGTAGTCCTCCTCGTACACGTCATGATCAGGCGTACTGATCAAGTAGAAGTCGGCGTCACTCTGACCCGCCTGTGGAGGCGCTAGATGGCCCCAGATCCTCCGCTGGTGCCAGCGCGGCCCGCCGGCGTATAGCACCAACGCCCACTCCTTGACGTGCGCCGGGGGCGCGGCCATTCTCCAGAGCCGGAGCCTTCGGCTTCGTCAGCCTCCCGACGACTCGGCGAGCCCCACGGCTGATGGCGAACCACAGCACCTGCAGCGCCACGGAGAAGAAGTGGAGCCCGAGCGTCACGAGGTCGAAGAGCCCCTCGCCCCAGCCCGAACGCGTCGAGCCCGCCTCGGCCGTTGGCTCGCCCCGCGCCGGCTCCGGCGCAGGCGCTCCGTCTGCCGCAGGAGGCGGCGGAGGAGGAGGGCCCGCTGATGCCCCAAACGGGGGCGGCGGATCCTCTCCGCCGGCGCTAGCGCCGGCCTGCAAGGGGCACGTCGGGCAGTGCAAGGTCGGGCACTGCGGGCAGGCGAGGCTTGCCGGGCACGCCGGGCAGCTCAACCCAGGGCAGCTGGGGCAAGCCGGCGCCGCGGGGCACGGGTGGGATCGCCACCAATATGCCACGAGAACCTGAGAGACAGTGCTGAAAAGCAGGGCAACTCGGGCGAGAAGCCTGCGAAGCCCGGGCATATCGAACACCCTTCAAGCTTGAGCACAGGTGGCAACAGAACGGACGTGCTGCATCGGCGCCCTTCCACCCGATCCCTCGCAGAGAACACCAGGCACGCCAGAGCAATACATACATACATACATACATACATACATACATACGTACATACACACACACATACATACATACATACATACATGCATACATACATACATACATACATACATACATACATACATACATACATACATACATACACACATACACACATACATACATACATACATACATACAAACAAACATGCATACATACATACGTACATACGTACATACATACATACATACATACATACATACATACATACATACATACATACATACATACATACATACATACACACATACATACATACATATAGACAGACATACAGACATACAGACATACAGACATACAGACATACAGACATACAGACATACAGACATACAGACATACAGACATACATACATACATACATACGTGGTTCTCTGTACTAGAAATGCTCCTGGCGTTATGATACTCTTTCGTGCCTTCGTTTCATAAGATCTGGAATCCTAGAATTTGGTCACGCGATCTACAATGTTTTGTGTTTCTAGAACGCACGTGGCGGTTCTACGAACTCTGCCTTGCGTTCTAGGGCTCGCCTCACCGTTCTAGAACTCATGCAGTTCAGTTCAAAAGAAAAAACACATGCACATAATGCTGGCAGTCGAGCTTTCAGGGCCTCTCTGAATGCGACGGGAGGCAGGCATGATTGGAGCCTGGAGTGGCCCTTCGTGCAATCGGGCGCTGCGTCCACTCGGCGCAAGCTTACGTCGGCGCAGGACGTCTCGCTTACCCGCTGCCGCAACTTGCCCGTCACGGTCTTGTGGAGGAAATTGATGGGTGGCGATAGTTTGGGCCAAACGACATTTTGGATTCCATCCTATGCCCTCCACCCCAAGAAAACGATCACATGGCGGGTTCCAGAAACCCTGAACCCAAAAATGCTGCCATCTCGTGAGGCGGCGCTTTGTACTTCCGCCGGCTTCCGCCAGCGGAGCCGCCCCCGCTTCACTTCCGCCGCCTTCCGCCGACCTTCCGCCACCTTCCGCCGAGGAAGAGATGGCAGCTTCTTCAGTCCTCGAAGGCGGGGCCCTCTCTGGAACTCCACGCAGACTTCCGGGGCTCCGCGCGGATTCTGGGATCGACGCCAGACTCCCCCTCCTGGCGAACGGACCGCGGCGCGGGCGGCGCTGGAGGGGCGTCCAGGGGATCCAGCGCCGATCCAAGAAACCCGCGCGGAAAGATTACGGTCGGGATCGTTTGCTTAGCGTGTCGCGGCTGCGGCCCCGGCGACACGCGATTGAGAAATACAATTATCGTGTTGGGAAAAAGGGGTTGGGAAGCTACACGGCACCACATCCAACGTACGCGATAATAATGACGATCTGGTCAATTATCCCAGCCCCATCCTCCCAACACGATTACTCTTTTTTTCTGAGCTATGCCCTGCCACCGGATAGCGTATCGCTCCGCTCCGCGGTTCGAAAGGCTCGGGAAGGCTCAGGGCTTTGGCGCATGGAATGGAAACGGCAAAATGGATAGCGTGCCGCTCCGAAACGTGGTGGGCCAGAACCGGTGGAGCGACACGCTAAGCCAAAGTTCCTGACCGTATGCTTATGCCAGTTTCTGGTCTCCCGAAGTCCCGACCGTTTTCCTGGGGCGGCGTTTCATCCTGCGTCGTTGTTGACGGCCCCGGGGCCCAGAGAGGGCCCCAGAGGCCGAAAACTACCAAAAAAAATCCGGTCGCGATTTTGCTTCGTGACCCGAGGGGGTCTGGGAGTCGAGCCTCCGTGAAGAGCGGCATCGACCCTCTCCGGCGGCCCTCCCTGGCGGCCAGCGCGCCGCCTCCGCTGCCGGCGCCGCCGCCACCGCCGCCGCCGCGGCGGCGGCGGCGAGCGGAAGAGGAGGAGGAGGAGGAGGAGGAGAAGGAGGACGAGGAGGAGGAGGAGGAGGACGACGACGACGAGGAAAAGCACATCTGGGGATATGGATCGGTTCGCCGCCTATGGGGTCCCCCAAGCATCTCGGCCTCGTGGGCCTCCTCCTCCTCCTCCTCCCCATCCTCCTCCTCCTCCTCCTCCTCCTCCTCCTTCTTCCTCCTCCTCCTCCTCCTCCTCATTATCATCCTCCTCCTCCTCCTCCTCCTCCTCCTCCTCTTCCTCCTCCTCCTCCTCATCATCATCATCATCCTCCTCCTCCTCTGGAGCCTCTGGAGCCTCTGGAGCCTCGGACAAGTTTATCCCTCGGGTGAAAGATAGCCTGCAAGATTAAGGAAAAGGGGGCTCAATGGACAGGAAAGGGGGTGCCCACCACCTTTTTGCTGGTTGGGTCCCTCCCCTTCACAAGCTCCTTAAGAGCTCTCCTGCCCCATTCGCCTGGCCCTTTGAGAGGGCACTCCTTGGCCAAGCCTTTCACTTGGTCAGTGCCATACCTCCCGCAATTCGCACATACATATGTCGCCCCACACCCCCACACTCTATGGGAGGCATCGACTCTGGCAACCATATTCGGGGTACCTGGGCAACGCTGGCTGGTCACGCGTCCTCTCCTGAGCGAGCTCTGACCACACAACCTGCAGCCCCACACTCCCCTTTGCTTATGAAAGGAGGTGCCCATGATCCCCCTTCACAAGCTTTAGAGTACACACTAATTTTCCTCCTACAAGTTGTTTTTTTCGGGCCTCTTTTTGGACCTTGGGCATATCATCTACATCGGGAAAAACTTTGCCTGCTGAGATTATTCAAAACACCTGACAGAAGCCTCACTGACCTAATCCCGAACTCCTCAGCGACCCTGAGACGTTCAACAATCTGGGGATGGGACGGGTGACCCATGGCTCCAAGCATGGCGTACCGATCGGCCTCAGAATTTCCCGCACGCCAGTGTGGGGGAAACCATTTCTACTCAGCCAGGCCCTGGACTTATGAGACGGCATCCAAACCAGCTCGAAGTTCTGCCGCCCCACATCTTCGAAATTCAAAAAAAAGAAGAAGGAGAAGAAACAAAAAAAAAAAAAAAAAAAAAAAAACTAAAAAACTTCCAAATCTCAGAATACTGCTGGGACGGATCGCACATTATTTCAGCTCCTTTGTCCACGGACTGCAACAATTTCTCGTGATCAATGATGATGATGGCCTTCGGCCCCATCAGACACAGGGCCATATAGAAGGCGAAGTGCTCGGCGAGCCCTGAACTCTGCACCACGCCAGGCGCGGGGCCATAACACACAAGACCTGCTTCACGGGATCCTGGAAACAGGGTGCAACACGACCATCCTGAGCGAGTTTGCCATTCAACTTCTGGATTCAGTCCCGAACCATCGATGAAAATCTCCAACCCCTTGTGACCCCAGGGCCCAAGTCTCTTCTGGAATTTCTTTTCAGCCTCGGATCCGACGAGCGGTGGGGGGTATTCATCGCGTCCCGAGCCTGTGACACCATACTCGACAAGCGGGCAATATCCTGCTTCTCGGCTGATGTCCACCAGCTCGGCCATATCAAAGCCTTGCCGCCATGCAGCCAGACCGTCACACTCATACACACGATGCCGAATGGTACCTGCTTGAGTTCCACACCAGCGGCGCATATTATATGGAATATCTCTCAGATTACAGCTTGCTCTGGGCCCAGAGGCCTCCAGCGAGATGTGCGCCCACTAAATCAGCCTGGATGTGTTCCCCCCTGCCCTCATACGCTGCAACCCGTGTTCAATGGGATCCAGATACGGCATGTTGCCCCACCCAAAGTGCTTCTGAACTTGGATCCTCTGGGCTCTGCAGGGGCTCCGATGGGTGAGACCCTTGAGGGCCTGGAGGCCTATGCTAAGGAGGTCCACCACGAGCCCCTGGCCGCCTTTCCACGTAACAGAGTCCACCGCCACCCAACCCATGCGCACGAAGGTCTGGACCACTGCGCCAGCTGGACCTATAACCGAGCTCCACCCAGACATCGATGCGGCCGCCGCCGCTTCAAAGATGGTGGATAGCAATCTCCGGGGAAGCCACTCTTGGCGCAGTGCGATATACCAGGACCAGCAGAGGGAGAGTGTTGACGACGAACGACGGGCCGAGGTCATACGGATCAGTCAACCGATATTGCACTGCACGCGGGCGCTCCTTTGCTTTACCAAAGAGCACAAAGGATGCCACAGAACGTAAGCTGGCCAAGTCCGACGACGACATGCCCTGGACCCGTACCCCATACGTAGCTGCCGCCATCCCCCCAGCCCGGAAGACACGTTTTAGTCCCCGCCGATGATGCATAATCGAACGAAATCGACCAGCCCTCTTCCGAATCGACCAAATACGCTGCCTGAGAGTTTTCTTCCCCTTCCTGAACTGCACCCCGAAATCGCGCCCGAGGTTGTTCACCGACGGATGCGCTTTGAAACAATATCGGGACAAGGCCTTCTGCAACTCCTGGGCCAGGGCGTCGCTCGAGGCCACGATCCGGCCCTTCTTCCTGGAGAAGACCAGTCCTAACTGCTCGAGACGACGACATAAATCTGGAACTGCGGTGGCGATTTTCAGCTCCACATTCTTCGTGGAACCTATCGCCTCGACGGTGATGTCGCCCACCATCACATAACGAGTGAGGGAGCTCGAATGCGACTGCACATACTGGAACGAATCCTGCAGAAAGACCCCAGGAGCGTCGTTGCAAAAGAACAACCTGCTATAATGGATCTCGTGATCCGGATTATGTCGGATACAATCTCACGTACTATAATACGGCGCGTACCACCATAAACCACAAGTAATGATCTGATGCGGCGCAAGCTAAACCTATGCTTCACACACGCGTGCCATAATACATCGCGCGGGATCTTCTCATAGCATTTCTCCATGTCTATAGGAGCCGACGCCGACGACACATTGATGGTTTTTGCTGACTCTGCTGACGCCGCCTGCTGCCATACCGCTCGCTCACAACTTTTCCC